TCATTTTCATCATCAGTTAACACACTCCCGTGGTATTCGTGGCGAAAACACACGTTTCCCGGCGCGGGCGCTGTACACCAACAGTACACACTGAGTGACCCCGGCGGCCTGCCCGGCACGTCCGACGTAATCGGTTGCTGATAAGATACGCATCTGGGCACAGACGCAGGATAAGAGTTAACATCTTGAGTTCAGACTGAGGATGGTATCTGTATAGAACAAGAGACTTTTTAGCAGTAACAAAAAGTAAGACAGACAGAGGTAAAAGCAAAGAGGCGCCCTCCAACATCCCATCAGCCATCCGTGTATAAATATGTTTTATTCAACACATTCTACACATAATTTCTATATATTCTCTTCCGGCATGTAGTTTACTTTGATTTGAGGTATGACATGATTTGTTTCCTTCACATCTTGGGCCTTGAACAGATGTTTATACAAACTCTGCTGACGAGTAAAAAAAAAATTGTTAATGCCCAAAAGATGTGTACAAAATTCTATATCAAAATAATCAATATTGCAAAAAAAAAGTTAAGCTCACCTTTGGATGGAACACTATGGCAGTGACAAAGTCTATGTGCTGGAAAGTACAGAGGCACTCACGGCGAGAGATGTGCCACAGTCGCACCGTTTTATCCATGGACGACGATAAGATGAAGTAGTTCTGAGAAAAATCACAAAAAACACTATGCACTTAATCAGGAAAAGGAAATTTCATTCCTTAACAACAATGGCTTCTGCAACTTCATAATTTAAAAACATGACAAAACCATGCTACTTACAAAAAGTAAGGCGACAAAATGTTTACAACTTTGCAAGCAATAACTCTTTTACCATAACCGGCTAAAAACAAACTTTTCACTTCCAATCTTTGCTGATACTGGAGTGGTGTAGACCCTCATAAACATCAGTCAGAATCTCCTAATGGTAGAAGTAATTTTGGTATGATTTTTTTCAAAAAGCCAAAATGTGAGGCATCGTGGCGAAATCAGGCGCACTCGTTAAAATAATGAAATCAAAGAAATTTGCATTTTTCTGATCTTTTGGGAAATTTTTTTCATATTTTCTATTTTGGGCTTTACATCCATTTAAAAACACATTTTTGTGTGGATTTTCCTGAAAAACATTGATTAGCACAAAAAATGTCAATTTTCAGTTTCCAAGGACTCTCCAGCTAATTACCAAACTTTGGAAGCCATTTTCTTGCTTATTTCACCTCTGAAACCAGATCACCCTGACCTCTTTCAGTCGCAAATATTTCAACTTCTATTCAACAGAGATCAATATTTTTTCACTAAAAGCAAGGCAAATGAACAGGCTTTAAGATGATACCAATAACCCCATATGCCCAAAAACTGACCACGTCGTGACACAAATGTAATTCTTATCCCACAGTTTATTAGAGCAGAATTCCCGTTAAATAGAAATTCTTATAAAAAAGAATCCTTGAATAGTAAGTACTACTTGCACCCAATTATGCCAGCAAGAGAAACTGAACAAAGGTCTTCCCTACTCCACACAAAGTACATAACTGTCCACCTAGGTCATAATCAGTCGTAAGACGCAAAGCGCTATTTGGCGCCAAGAAGCTTGAAAGGTTGAAAAGTGGCTTTCCATGAATTATTTGGGGGGGGGGGGGGGGGGGGGGATCTATCGAAAGTTTAATGTCTTTTGCTTCATTTAAGATCAAAATTAACAACTATAATCGACTATAAATATTTTATTTCGATTTATTTTGGAGGTGGGTGTGTGTAGTTTGTTGTGAGCTTGGGTGACATGATAAAGGAATTTGGACCTCAAACCCTTTCGAACATTTGACCTGCTGGTGTGTAGCTGTGAGATTATTTACAGAACCAATACCTCATGGCCACATTGCTTCAACGTCCTTCATTCGCCCCTGTTCTTAGATTTAGACCCCTTTTCGAGCTTGAATGGTCTGAAATATAAACAACTTAGCGTCACTATGAATGGCTGAGGGCTCTGATTGGTTAAACGGGGTAAGAAGGTAACTCCTAGCCCACTTCAAGCCTGTTTACTTATATAGCTGACTGTGTAAGCGTGCCCTGCTAGCTCAGGTATGGGCTGTTGATATTTCAGTTTTACACTTCGATTGACTTAAAAAGTTCATTTTTATTGTGTTTTAGTGGGGGGGGGGAGGGGGGGGGGTTTAAGGATTGATCTTCCACTAGATCTCCCAAGGTGGACTCCTTACCAAGAGGCCACTGAGGCGGTCTATGTGCATGTGTATGTGTATGTTGGTGTATGTGTATATTTGTGTGTGCATATGCGTGTGTATGTGTGTGTGTGTGCTCGTGTGTTTACAGTGCTATTGCAAACGTATAATTAGGAAACGTAAACACGGCATGTAAGCCGACTCGCGGACTTGGGAGCGCGTAGTTTCGGTGAAATCGAGGTAATTCAGATTGTTTTTCTTTGCTCTTCCGCTATAACACACCAAATGCTGTACACCTTGAAAAAGTTAAGCCTTTTTTCGTTACAATAGCGTAATTTGTTTGTTTTTCCGAGAATTTAGAGCTAGAAATCGCCGAGGGAAACGAAGCCACCACGAGGTCTGCCAGTTCAAAACTTGACACCCATGCATCCGAATGCTTTGAAGAAATAGTGATGATTAAATGCCGTTTTTTTTCATTGGCCAGCAACTTCTTTAGAGTTTTGAACGGGGCTTCCAGAGGTATATTTTTTGCCTTTGGCGTTTAAATAGAAAGCCTTTAAAAAAACATACAAGTTTTCAAGGATAATTTTTAACACGAATTATGTAAAATACCGACTTATAAAAGGTACCAATAAAAAGAACAGTTCTTTATCTACTAGAATAAAGTCATCGGCTTGGAAATACTTTGCATCAATCCTTCAGGAAACTCCGGGGAGCACTCAGTACACTACAGTTAGCGCCGACTCGTTCGCCGTGGGGACCTGTGCGGCGCCGGCCGGGACAACGCTCTGTGGGTTTTTTTATCGAAATAACGACAGATCATTGTGTTTGAGGCAATAAAATGCTGATTTGTAATGATCTCTCGGTCTTGAAAAAAAATTTGGCTCCATTTCTATATTATAGTGATAATACTCTGTTAATGTGGAGATGTTTGGTGCACTTGGTATTCTTTTATTATCTGTCAAACATTGGGTTGCAGCCACTCTGGTGCCTAGTGGGGCCTACAATGCTAACCCGTTGTTGCATTTCACGTGAAGGCCATTCTCGTTAAGATTTTGTTTTAACCATAAGTTTTTTTTCTGTGAATGAATAGTTTTCTACTTCTGTGTGTTACCTTGTAGTGGCATAGCCAAGATAGCTGCTAAATTTCAAGTCTCTATCTCAATTCCAAGACCCCCGTTGCTATGTTGCTCTACTTCGGAGCCCGTTATCTTCTTTTCCTATTACTACACCTTGCAAACTTAGAAGTTCCACATTTTCGTCGAATATTGTCTTAGTTAGTTCTTTTTTTTTTAAATTGTAGTGAAATGGTGATGAGTTTTGGAAATTATGTTAACAAAATTTTTTAATTTCCTTCATATGACTGATTTTTATTATTAATTTTTTGTTATAGTAGAGGGTTTTACGGCGCTCGCAACTGCATAAGGTCATATGAGCGCCAAGGGGTGGGTGTCAACAGAGAAGTCTTTACAGGGAATCAGACTTATTCTGCTCACCTCTCTAGCTTCAACAGCACAAGGTCTGCTTCGACTATCAAGGCACTCCGGAAATAGCAAGTCACAAGAGAGTGACAAACATACAAAAAAAGTAGAAGAAAATGACAATAGTAAGGATTAAGAAAGAAAAAGCAGCAGTTCCCTGTTGTAGATCAGGCACAGTTATGAGCGTGACATGAATCAGCCTATTTACCATTCTACTGTGCTTGAACGAGAAATGTCCCCGCTTTGGGAATGGCCTAAAGACACTTACAGTCAGTGGCACTGCCTCGGGGGGGTGAGACTGATTTTGACCGGGAGGGTCACATATACCATCTGACCATTATCAAGTATAAAGATATAAAAGAATTCTGCGAATTTGTGATTGTTTCAGTAAGGAGACACACATCGACAAATCAATGATCACTAAGCTGGGAAAAAGTTAGAAATGATGGAAACAACAGAAGGAAAGTAGTAGAGAAAGTATAACTCACAGATGGTGCCCTTCAAAAATCCACAATAAATCTGCAGAAACACAAACAATTCAAATCCACATTGATTTTTAAAGCATACAAGAGGGCATAACTGTGGCATTAGTAATACTTGTGTAATAAAAATTCTGCAGAGCACATAAATGCGTAACAATTATGAGGACTCCAGACACGATGCATTGGCATTGATCCCTCACCTTTGACCAGCTGAGGTCAAGCAAATCTGCTGTGTGCCCCTTGTACACACAGAACGGTCTTCGCCTGAAGGGAGCACTGACTTCGTCTTCTTCTTTGTGAGCATTCAGTTCTTTCTGAAAGTCAAAAACAAATATAACAAACACTATCAAACACAAAAGTGACTATAAAAATTAAATTTATCTATCTCTTTCATTGATCTACACAGCACCAAATGTTTTATTTTCATGTCTGACATATATGCATCGCAAGTTTATAGCAATATCATGAGACATACAGCGCCACCAAGTCACAGACTTAAAAACAAAGTGAAATTGCAGTCCCACGAGAAGTAAAAAAATGTGTACAAATGCCATAATTTTAGTTTCTGTAATATTTAAACACAACCGACAGCAAGTGACCAACTGACCAAGGGATCCATGGCAGCAGCAGACAAATCCGAGGATGAAGCAGAGTTCAAGCTCTCATGAGATTCAGCTGGAGAGAGTCGCACTGCGGAAAAACAAACACAAAATTTGTTACATGAAGACCTATAACGGCATTACTTTGTCCTCAGAGAAATTCGCGCCCGCAACTCGCAACTTGCACGCGCAACTTTTGCCCTCAGCGCAACTTTTGCCATTTAGCCAATTTTCCGCAAAAGTTGGAAAAATAATAATATTTCGTTAAATAAATCTAGTATAAAAAATTGTGAAAGACTAAATTTTAGGCAAGGAGGGTAGATCTAGACAAGGATCGATTCATCCAGAAAACGCATTAAAGGGGACGTTCAAATATAATCTTACGTCACGAAAAAAAGGGGAAGGGGGGTCTTTGACTCCTGTAAAAGAAAGGTGTAAGAAGGGGGGGTGGGGAGGGGTCCTTGAACCAATGTGTTATTGCTGTATTACACTTTTGTAAGGTGAAAAAATAACTAGGAAAATAATTTATGACGACATAGTTTTTTTTAACATTAAAAAAAAAGAGTAACTATACTACATGTATTCATTTAAGAGCGGTAAGCGCGGCATTGTGGCGATACAGTAGGTCCTCGACGAGCGGCACGATATGCCATCTCGCACTTTATACACTGGTAGATATCTAGGCTACATGACATGTAGATTTAGTATAATTTTTATCAAACGGGTGCGGTTTAAGTGGTAAAATGACCCTGTAAGTTATTCCGGAAAAGTTCCGCCTGTACTGTATTTAATTATTATGTCACATGTGTGTATGCATGTTTTTTTCATGAATACTATTATACTTATGTAAAAGTAAAGTGCATAGAATGGCGTTCATATGACCTTATGCAGTTGCGAGCACCGTAAAACCCTTTTCTATAATAAAATAAAAAGTGCATAGAACAATGATTGTAACACGGATTTGCGCAATATAAATGTCATATTATTATTATAAGAATAATGTAATATTAAGGGATTTGGGGGGCGGCAAAATGTCCCAAAGAAGGCACCTGCCCAACTTCAGCGAGAATTTAAGGACCTGACGCATGTGTCAGGGGACAAAATGTTTTTGTACACCATGCAACCTCCACGCAGTTTTTTTTGTTTGTTTGTAGACATTCACATTTAACTTTTGATACTGATTAACAAAACTCATGTTGGTTACTTTGATTGCAATGAGCTTACCAACAATGTATTCCAATAGTTCCATGACATTTTTTTAGCTATACACGTCTCGCAACTTTTCTTACAACTTTTGCTAATTTTTCTTGCAACTTTTTGCAGGCCGCCTTTCTAAAATTTCCCATTTCAGGAACATTCAGAGTTGATTTCAGGTATTTTGTCCAAAAACTCATATTATGGTGGAACTAAGATTCAACAAAATCGTCAGGCCCGACCTTCAATTTTGTTGAATCCAAGCGTTCCGTTTAGCAAACATGAGGTTTTATTGAAGATAATTAAAAGCACAGAGCAAGTAAAGAATAATGTATTCGACTTCCTAAATCAAACGTAGTTCGGTTTCAAATTAAAGGCATTTTTGTGTCTTTAATGCCATACCGAAGAAATGCTGGGAAATTCTTGGAAAATACACTGAAGTCTACCAAGCACACGCCGTGCAAAACGTCTTTTTAGGCCTAGTTCAAATGCACACCTGTGTCATCTATCATCTGTGATGTATTATTTGCCGAACAAATTATGTTGATGTGTATAGCCTAGCAAACGTCAAGGTTTGATTCCACAGTCAAGCGTGCAATTCATTACGCAAATCTGTGTCAAGACTAACTTATCATTGTAATATTGATCCTTAGCCAGGGGGGGGGGGGGACTGAGTGAATGTGATGCATTCGTATCGCTACTCATTACTTAAGTTCCACCCCCAGACTGCTTGTGCCCCTCCCCACAGACACACGCACAGTCACATATACGTATGCTGAGCACCCATCCGACCCCAACATACGGTAAGACATGTGTGAATGTCAACAACACTTGATCGGAATGAAAGAAGGTCACTGATTGGTTGCATAAGATATAAACTGCAGGCTAAGTGAATAATGGTTCACGATGCAGATGAGATGGATGGTTTCCAGGAACAGATAAAAGTTCGTTGTGGGAGAAAAAATGAGCAAAGCAACGTCAGCAGAGGCTGTTCACCCTGCAAGCAACTTCGTTGATTCCCAGCTTGCTCATTTATGTGTTCCTTGAAACCGAATTATTGTTTTTGATTTTATTGAATTAAAAAAAGGGGCACAGGGCAACTGCTAAACTGACTTCAAAACCCAATGCCTGACAGTCCATCTTGCACATCCAAGTCCTTTGAGCCAGGTCCTTCGATTGCATAGAGGATCTAGATCAAAGGTGGTAGGTTTGTTGGACGGGAGTGTATACAGACCCGGTAACCGGGAACAAAGTCACAAAGTATACAGACCCGGTAGGGGAACTCTTTTGTGATTTCGGAGAGTTTCAGCGCCCTCTTGGCTCAGGGTAGACCTAGGTTCTTCTAGATCTATGGTCTAGGTCTAGATCTAGGCAGAAAGACATAAATCTTTCATCTAGTTTCGCGGCTAACCTAGATCTAAATGAAGATTGCCGATGTCGTTTCGATGAACGATGGTTTTTCCTCCGTTTTGGAATTGGAGGAATCACAATCCGAAGAAAAGATCTCTCTCTCTCTCTCTCACACACACACACACACACACACACAAAAGATTTCTACCGGGTCTGAGGTCTGAAACTTCCCGAAATCACAAAAGAGTTCCCCTACCGGGTCTGTATACTTCGTGACTTTGTTCCCGGTTACAGGGTCTGTATACACTTCGTTGTTGGACAGCCCACAATGTTGTTCATGGCGCAAGGACAGATAGAGAGGGTCGTTTACACTTCAAGTAGCAAATTAACAAGTAGTAAAATTAAAGTGCCACGCCTCACTAAACATCCAAAGGTCTATGCCCATATATGAAAAATAACCTTTCTGTCCTCCTATTCAAAATTTCATATCAACTGCAAATGTTTAATGTGTCCTGTGCACTCATATGACCTTATACAGTTGCGAGCACCGTAAAACACTTACCAAAAAAAAAAAAAAAAAGAACATGTGGTTAATGCCATTTCAGATAAAAATGATACTACTGGGCAAATCTACGGAATAAACCAACCAATGGATCAAAACAAACAAAGGCAAAATGTTTACATTGTGATTTTTGCTATTTTACCCCTGTCCTTTTCAAAAGTAGTAAAACAAAAACAAACCCATGGGCCTCAGTGGTAAGTCAAATAGAACAAACAACGATATTCCACCATCAAACTCAGCACAAACCTTGAAACTAACATCAAAACAGAATCAACCCTGAAAATGTTTGTTTTGTCACCACATCTACAAAACAGTCCAACACCGGTTCTTCAAATATCCTAAACTTCAGGATCTCTAACATATGGTACCCTTCAACCACCAGCATAAATGAATTATCACCACCCACATTAAGTATCTAGCGAAAAACTAGTGGGAACAGTGTTAAAAGTTAAGTGAAATATCTTCATGTACAAAGGACCTACTTTTACCTTTTAGTAGGGCTGGATTCTGCTCGGTTAATCGAAGGCTTGCAAAGCAGCGGGCGTATTGCGCTAGAGTCTTGCGAGCAGGCTTGTGGTTTGATTTGCCTCCCGCTTGCTACCGGAGGGAACTTCCGGTGAGTTGTGACTCGCGGACAGTCCTACTGTACTGTGTCATGACGTCGCGAACTCTCGTGGCAGTGGGCTCAGTACATATTACAGAAGATTCTCCGGTTATTTGCGTTGAGAGGCTTGCACCAAAAGTGCAAGATCGGTTGGGTTTTTTTCATAGTTCGGTTGTAAAAAACAAAAAACTATTCAATGCACTAAAAAATTAATATTGGATCGGCTATTCTTAGGATGTTAAGGCCTATTTATTTTTAATGTGCACGAGCCAAGCGCTTCATCGTCGCACGCAAAAGACCTCAGTTCGATTCCCGTATGGGGAGAAATTTTTACTGAGAACCTCCGTCCTTCTGCTGGGGCGTTGTTGGCCCTGACATTGGGTTGAAGTAGGCCTAGCCCGTCTCCTAAATGTTCTGTATTATGTCACTGTGAGTGTAACACATCTACAAAATAGGTTACATACATACGATACAAAAGCCAATCACAACGGCCCCTGGAGTTTTCCATTTTAGGGTAATCTAAGTCAACTTATTCTTATTACTACCAGAAACCTAGGTCTCTGTTACTACTAAGCATGGGCGAAGTCAAGTCGAGATTCGATATTTGACGAATTCGTGGGGTCTGAGTCGGAGCTCGAACATTGGGCAGGAGGACGAGTCCGAACACGAATTCCCGAACTAGGGCAGCCAAGGGGAAAATGGATCACGAGGAGCGAAAACATATTTAATTTGTTTAAAACTGAATAATTTTACGCAAAACTGCACCTAAGAAACATTTTTGGACGCTCAAAATTTAGATTTACCAATAAATGAATAAAAATGCATAAGTTTGAAAAGTATCATAAAACACGATGTCTGATTTCTATTTTCCCCTCGCTGTGTTCAGAAGGAAGCGGCGAGTTCGAATTGGACCGTCCCACGATTCCATCGACTCAATGAAAGTCACATGAGCTTTTAGAACGCGCTGATTCGCTAGCAGTTACAAATCCCTTCTGCTGGTGGTTATGCCCTAAGAGGCCAAGGTCAAATTTACACACTACGGTGACGGACGAGCATTGCATCTCTGATTGCACCAATCACAATTGCAAGCCATCTTCACGTCAAATTCAAATCCCGTGATTATCCCAGCCTCCTTCTTTCTTTGGCTTTCACTGCGATCACACACATTTCACTACTTTTCTTCTCTTCATTGTACTATCTACATGTATTTTCTTACGACCTGTCTGGCACTTACATTTACCTTGTCACATTTCTTGTCTCTTTTGCATTACTCTATGTTTGTTTTCAACCTTGTATGTTTCATCTTATAATAAAATTATGATATAGATCTAGATCTAGATCTATTACTGTTATTTTTTATAGACTTCTGTCTTGCTGACTGTTGCTTTGATTAATGCATGGTCTGACTTTATAGTTCGAAACTGCTGGATTTTAAGCTTTGATTTTTATTATGACCTGTTTGCATCCATTATCCTCGCACATGAAAGCGGCTGTACTGTCAACGAGGGGCAAATAACTTTCAAAACAAACTGGTGCCCTCCCCTGATGTCAATGAAAACATTGCCTGCCTCAATCCCGACCTCTGTGACCTCTTCCCTGCTCCTTCCCCCTCCCCCCTCCCCGCCCCCTTTGTCTACACCGGTCCGTGGTGTCGGGATTCTCTACAGCGTGTTCGACTCGACGGATGTAGGGAGAACGACTTGACTTGACACGAATCCCACCGAATTGACCTTGCCTCTCCTCAAATTTGATTGGCTGCTATCTTGACCTGAATTCGAATTCGGAGTCGAGGTCGACGAATTCGCGCCCAAAAATGTTCGGAGTCGAAAGTTCGGAAGTTCTCGGAGTCGGCCCACCCTTAGTTACTACAATACCACGCTCCCTCTCACTTATCCATTCGCTTAGCTGATCAACGGCGGGAAGTTAAAAATAACTTCAGCTCTCTACGCCTTGCACCAAAACAAGCCCAGCCTCTTCCTTCCTCCACGGTTCAAAGTTCACACAGCGAGCGGTACTTGCTGTTTGAACACATCGGACTGTCTTGTCGCCATCGAGCGGTCTTGTCGCCGTCGAGCGGTCCTACGGCGTGCCGCTCGCTCGGTGTATCGAGACAGTACAAGTCAGCAGGTCAGGTTTAGAGCTTGTCTGGGACAAATCTCTTGGCCTAGCGCAAATCAGTACTGTGTGAATTGTGGGGCCTGTGGCTGCGGACGGGACTTAAGGCTTACGCAGGCCTTCGATTAATCGAGTAAACTACAGCGCCAGGCCGCGCAGTGACTCTGTGGGCGAGACCTCTCACTCTCCCCCTCTCTCTTTTTCTGACGTAAGTGGCTTCGCGGATTGCAAGCAGGGTGGGGATGATGAGGGGGCCTGACACGAGTGGCTTCGCGGATTGCTAGTTGCTGTGGACTTGAAGTTTAGACTAGACCAAGGAGGTGACAGTTTGCGCTGGACTCAACTTATCATGCTGGTGATTTGATTTGATGATTTGACCTAGTGATTTGAGGCTTGTGACTTGAACTAGGGGCTTGTGAGCATGAGCGGGTTTGCTACCGGGGTACAGCCCTACTCTTTTAGCCCTCTTCCCTGGATCTACAAGAATGCTAGAATGCACGCCAGGTGGAACACATACATGCCATGCAGCCTACAGAAGGAAAAGTTTACACCTGAGGCATCCTTTATCAATGGGGGAATATTTCTAGCACTAAAATTGTCTTTTCTTCTAGGACCTAACACTGCACAAATCGACTGTTAGTTTGGGAGAAAAGAAGTACATTGACATCATAAAAAAAAGGTGTTACGTGCAAAGAAAAAAGTGGGATAAACAGAAATAAAAACACAGAGGGTAAGAACAGAAGTTGGACCAACATATGGTACCCTTCAACCACCAGCATAAATGAATTATCACCATCCACATTAAGTATCTAGCCAAAAACTTGTGTGAACAGTGTTAAAAATTAAATGAAATATCTTCATTCCTCAAACTAGGCACCCCACAGCATTATGACTGAAAGCAGGTAATTTAGGTTACAGAACAATCTGATCATGCATTTAACCTACAAAGGGCAACCATTCTTAGAAAAAACACTCACCATCTGAATATTTCTGACGAAAATCTTCAAAGTAACTGTAGGTGGACTTCAGTACCCAGATGCGTAAAACACTGTCTTGACCTCCAGTGGCCTGAAAATTGAAACAATAGTCTGCTGCAATATTCTTTCAATACAGTTTTGGTTGGGGGGGGGGGGGGGGGGGGGGGTTCCGTGAACTGCAAAATGAAGTGCAATTTCACTTTCTTACCTCCTTTAACTCCTTCAATGCCGCAGGTCAATAGGCCCCTGTGCCGGGGAAAATCCTATGAACCAAGGCTGCTCAGGGGTGACCCACTATACATCCCATTATTTTTTTATTTATCAATATTTCCTTATGAATTTCTGCATGTACATTCTTCAGTGAACCACATTTCTATTGATATAATTTTGGGGGAGTTTCATTGGGAAATAGATGGAGGAAAGCTGGAGTTTGTAACATGGTGCCAAAAAACAACACCACCAAACAACATAAACAATACATGTTCGAGTAATGATAAACTGAGACCAAAAAAAGGGGAATACATGATGAGTGAGTATTTGCAGGTAAAGAAGAAGGGGCAAGAGGCTTTTTCTACCTTATACAACGCTCATACAATCCATATAGATCTATATACATGTAAGCCCATCTGTGTATACTGCTAGTAAATCATTTTTGTGCGGTAGATGTGTTAGATCTAGATCTAATCTTCTCTTTGAGCTAAAATCTGAATTTGACACTTTCAAATAGGGGGGGCGGGGTGGAGGTAAACATAAAGGGAAGGTACCTCAATAATAATTAAAAGATTTTAGTTGTAGCTTCCCTTATAATTGGTATCAAACACAGAATTCTACACTTATAGAATGGGAACTGTACCACGTGACCTGTGAGAAATTGAAGACCGAAAACAATGGCGTCTTGAGGGCACAATTTATCGTTTTCGGAAGTAATCCTATAGCTTTTAAAGCAAGAGCGGCTTTTACAAACGAGTGAAAAGTGGAACATTTACTGTCCAGTTTGTAATTTTGAGTTACAGAATTCACTGTGCAACTTGAGATTGGAATTAAGGTTTTAAATTGTTGTGTTTTTGGGTGCAACAACAGAAAAAGCAGACATTTGACATAGAGAGTTTATAATAAGATCTACAGAACTGTGAAAAAATTCGTAATACGGATGGGATTGTTCACAGCACTTCTAGATCTAGATCTAGCTTCCCACACACATTTTGCATACACATATGGCCTACGTAATTTTTTAGTAGCAAAACTTGCTACAAGAAATTTGTTTTACACTGAACATATTTTTTCACTAAATCTAATTATTGTTCTCAAAACATGCCTTCAATAATTAGCTTTAAGTCGCCAGCAGAAGTAGAAAAAAGGACGGACTTGCTTTTAAAAGAGATTTAGCTCCAGCTATAAACTTTTTAAAAATCTGTAGAAACCATTGACTGGGATTTTTTTTTTTATATTGGGCTAGTATTTATTAAAGAATTTTCTTTAAAGAAATTTCTAGAATAATATAGAACCTATAGATGTGTACAAATGTTTGAAAAAAATACTCATCGGTCAAGACGAATTGATAAATCTAAGTCATTATGTAAAAGTAGGAGAATCTAGATCTAGGTGTTCGATAGTTCAGTAGCCTAGATATTTGATAATAAGTTGCGCATCAAATTTTTGACCGCATGCTACAGTAGTAGAGATAGTGTATTATTTTCATCCGAAACATTAATTTCCGCATCCATACACCTTTTTGGGCCTTTATAAGCACATGTAGTCCTACTTTAATTTTGTTACTTTCATAATTGTTTTTGAAAGCATTTTCAATTCCTTTCACTTCCCAAACGCGGGCACATATAATTATGATTATAATTTAAGATTCCAAATCTGACGAATGTATTATTAAATAGCGTATAATGCTGAGTTAGCCAATGCATTGCAATGTGCGCTATTATCAATTACTGAATTGTAACAAGACTTCAATTTGATCCGTAACAAGAGACCACTAATTTTTTTATACGTGTTCATGAATGTGTTTGTTTACTGTGTGCGGGGATTAAAAATTAAAGATTAAAGATTCCAGATCTGACAAATGTATTCATAAAATAGCATAATAGTGCTGGGTTAGCCGATGCCTTGCGATACACGCTTTTATCAATTAATTGAATTGTAACAGGACTTCGATTTGATCCGTAACAAGACAACACTTATTTTTTCTTATACGTGTAGAATTCTGTGGTATCAAAACCACCACTGTCACAGTCCCATAAATTCTACGGGCAATAGGCACAGCGCTACATGGTTCAGGCCCGTAAATTCAACGGGGGCAGCAGCAAAGAGGTTAAGCATTTATTTCAGCAAACAAATTGACTAAACTTTAAAGTCACCACATTCCAAAACTTGCTCTTGAATGAGTAATATGAATATATACTTCTTCAAGAAATTTAAATAAAAACCAGGATAGAAGAACTAGTTTTAATGAAAAGTGAATTATGCCTCAATACACAGTTCCATGGACTTTCTTCATTCACAACATTTGAAAACAACAAAAAGTGCCAGAATCAGTTTCAAACATTCACTGCTGCTAAAGGGAATTAAATTTTTAGACAACAGATGAATAGATGGATAAGTACATGGATAAGTTAGGGCTTTTAAAACTTATGGTATGGAGATTGTTTGCTCTCAATCTGGCAACAAGTAATAATTAAGGGGTTATGTACACGATAAAAGGAAGTAGCTAGGGATTTGTCTTTTTTTCAATTATTAAAGGTGATATTGGCTAATCATAGACTAATTAGAAAAATCATGACGGAATTCGTCGAGTTTTATGAAAAAGTTGGTCTCTGTGGCGGCCATCTTGGACTTTTGGCCATGTTGCGGGGGAAATCGTACAGAAAATATTGAAATTCAAACCTCAAACTTTACACACATATTTACAAATTATCTGTGATCATAGGCAGGATTTTTTCCTATCATTAAAAACAATAAAAATATTGATATATTACAGGACCAGCATCGAATAAAAGAGAGTATGATAAGCAAAAAAGAGGAATATTTTAAAAAGTAATCCATTTTTCACAAAATTCGCGCCCATGATCTCAGAACATTTTATACAGTACCCGTATGCCAAATTTCAAGCATGTACCTCTGATAGTTTCAGAAAAGCGATTTCCCCCACGCGGTCACCTTACTGAAAAAGTACTTTTGAGAAAAACGCGAAAAGAGATTGGAAAACGTCAAAGTTTAAAAAACCACTGCCTTTAACGGGGAAAATTGGATATTTTAAAAACGGCCCATTTTTCTAATGGAACTTATCTGGCTATTGATGGTTCATTTTCTTTTGAAGTTAGCATTCAAAAACAGGTGTACCGGACTACCTTCAATAATATTTAGTTCCTACCCCTGACCAGTTACAGACAAATCAGAGGAATCATTTAGTGACATTCCGAGATAACGCCAACACACAGTGCGTGCGTGCGTGTGTATGTACGTTAATTGTTTGTGTGTTGGTGTGTGTATATGTGTGTTGGTGTGTGTATATGTGTGTTGGTGTGTGTGTGTATGTATGTCTGTGTGCATGTATGTGTGTATGTTTATGTGTGTGTGTGTGAGTGTGTGAGTGTGTGTGTGTGTGTGTGTGTGTGTGTGTGTGTGTGTGTGTGTGTGTGTGAGTGAAACGTATCCCAATTGTGACGGAATTCAAACAAGTGTTCACATTTTAAAAGCCGTAGACGGAGTTGATGATTTCCTGCAAGGATGTTATTACCCAGTACTCGATGATGTCGATAAAGAAATATGTGATAGCGAACTAAGCATTGTTGAATTAGACGCCATTGTTAATAAGTTAAATATTGATTCAGCACCTGGAATCGGTGGAATTACCACCCTTTTTTACAAATCTTTTTGGAACAAACTGAGGAAGCCTTTATTAGCAAACTTTCAGCAGAGTCTGGAAACGGGAGAGTTATCGCTCATTCAAAGAAGAGCCCGCCCCCTAAATGATCTAAACTGTGTCAACGGGATCGTTATAAACACATACAGTAAAATTTAACTTTTTCCAACGTTACATACATAGATATGAACATGAAAAGAGCATAATATTAATACACAAAGTACACGCATACATACAGATAAAGAGAGAGACAGAGAGAGAAAGACAGAGACAGAGAGAGAGAGAGAGAGAGAGAGAGAGAGAGAGAGAGAGAGAGAGAGAGAGAGAGAGAGAGAGAGAGAGAGAGAGACAGACAGACAGACAGACAGACAGACAGACAGACAGACAGACAGACAGACAGACAGACAGACAGACAGACAGAGAGAGACAGAGAGAGAGAGACAGAGACAGAGACAAAGAGAGAGAGAGAGAGGAGGGGGTGCAAGCAGATTATTGTTTTTGTTATTGTTTCAGGAAGCAACATCCCCGCACTCCGGACATGTCCATTGATGCTCCGTTGCTCTCTCCAAAATGTTGCCGAGGGTCCTTCTACTGATTGCGCCAGTGCACATCTGGTTGAACGTTTTTCTGTTCTTTCCTGCAAGGATGCCAGATTTTCCGCTTCCTTTTTTTATTCCCAAAAGCATCATCCTCTCCACGGCAGTACTGGCCTCTGCCTCCCTATCTTCCTCCTCAATCAGCTGGCGAGAGAGACATTTCAGGATCTCAACCCTATCTGGTTGAACCGTATTGTCAACTAAGGTGGCCTCACCAGCCAATCTGTCGGCTTTTTCATTTCCCCTAACACCTGCATGGCCAGGGCAGAAAATCCATGTGAGTGATCGTATAGGCCTTGGTTCGATAGCTTGAATCCATTCTGTTCTCAGGAAACCTTTTTCGATCCTTCTGAGGGTACACATGGAATCAGTGACAAGAACAGCATGGGTTGTGTGGGGGCGATCTTGGGTCATCCAATCAAGTGCTTTCGTGATGGCTTCAATTTCCATTCGCATACTTGATGTAGCCCTGCTGCAGGCTCCAGGTGCACTGTGTATGATTTTATTGTTGGCGAATGCAACAAATCCCCATCCACTTCTCTGGCTATCTCTTTTCACTGAACCATCTGTATAAATTATAGGATCCCCTGCTTTTGAGTTTGTGTCAACAATCTCGTTGATATCGCTCTTGTTGATATCGCTCTCGTTGATGGCAGCCGCAACATTTCTTCTGTCTCTGCCCATGCTTATTTTGACCTTGGTGAGGTCCCTGTATTCTCCGGCCACCTGTTCCCATTCTTCGCCTAGTGGTAGGCTCTCAGGTACATAGATTGTTCTCAGGGAATCCTCTGCTTCCGCCATCCAAGATTTTCCTCTCTTGATTCTGACTCTCCTGTAGTCATGAAGTGCTCTGTGAAGTGGATGATCCTTCTTGCCCCTTACACTGAGATACATCTTTGCCTGAGCTATCCTATGGCGTACTCTGATGCCACTTAAACCTAGCGGGTGCAAGCAGAAAGAGAGACTAATGGAGAGATATCAAGAACCCCCTTCCCTTTTCCCCTCTTTTTCTCTCTATCATCAACAACACGCTCCTGTAGCTATAGAGCTACATTTGGCTAGGTTTAGCTTTCTGGCACAGTGAGTACTCTATAGATGACATCAAAATTAGGATAAAACAACTGAATCAGAGCTAGTTGTAGGGTGAGCCAGTTAGAGTACATGAAAATGCATGTTCATTTTCTTTTTCAAACAGCCCCTGCTGTCCTTCCACACATTTTCTCTTACTCATTCGTACAACCATGGAACAGAACCAGGCATTGATCGTGCCTGGATCACTAGGATTGGTGTAGGTTTTAAAAAGGCCTTTTTTAGGGGACTCGAAAGTGATACAGTGTTTCTGATATGTCATACTGTACATGCTAATGCAATGAATGATCTATAGTACACACAAACATTGCCCTTCCCTTTCCTTTCCCAGTGGACCAATTGTGGGATGCTTGGACAAGAGTTGTTTGTAGATGGTGAAAAATGCACAGACTCATAGCTCTGGCCTACTCGCAGGACAAACTGTTACACAAGATTCAAGGTGCTTTGAATGTCTGTTTGATGCGCACGGGGTAATTAAAATCTGTTGAAATTGATGAGTAAAAATCCAAGGATTTCTTATCTTTCCCGAGAGTCCAATGTCGGAGGACGTGCCGTTTATAAAAAAAGTATTAGTTTCGGGTACAGTGATTTGGATTGGTTGTTCTTACAATAATAATAATATATCATCGCTGTAGTTCATGCTGACCCAATCTCTAAGCTTTGTATTTCTTTTGAAAAGTGTGCTTGTGAGCTCTGGCATTTTCATACGAATAAGCCTGCAAATGGTTAGCTGACTAGGTTTATATTTATAAATGAACGCAATGCACGAACAATGACCAATGTAAATGATGATTGTCTTGATCGTTCAGGGATTTGAAAGAAGAGGAGCTTGGGAGAACAAAAATACTAGACATGATAGGGTCATACAGGGGCACACGGTAGTTGTCACGGTCAAATTATGGGCTAATCAGAAGAAAACACGCCAAACTTTTGACAAGGGTGTCCTCTGGAAAAAACCTATAAATGAGAATTCTTGACTTTTTTAGAATTAAACATTAAGCGTTATCGATTCTTTAGATATTCAGGTACCCAAAAATGGACAAAGTTAAAAATCGATTTTTTTACCTAAACATCGGGTTTTGCAGACCCGTGACATGCCTTAAAGCATGCAGGAGATGCTCTAAATGTAACCATGTTCAAGTAAATGTTCATATTTTCTCTGGCATTGGCACCCAAATAAAATTTGATAAAAGGAAAAAAACAATACATCAACTTACCAAGAGCTTCCCACAGGGCGAAAACTTCATAGTCCATATTGCTCCCTGTGGACATGAAAAAAGAGTTCAAGACAAATAAAAAATAAGGTCAACATATTCTGTACATTATTTAGTTTTAGTATTGCTTAACACCTATCAGAACATGGACAGGAATACTCGCGAAGCTTGACTGCTTCCCCAGGACCACAGACGAATATATTCGCGAGGGAAATTACAGAGATATAAACAAAGGCCAGCTAAAGTTTCTCCACACATATTTGTTTCTTTCGTGAATCAGCAATTCCGTTTAGATATTTAGCTTCTAATTTCTGGCAACTAAATGTGGAAAGCAATGAAATGGGTTCAAAAAGGTATTTTACCCAACATGAGGTCCTCAACAAAAATTTGTATGGACAGACAGTGATGGCTCAGACAATGACCCTCATTATTCGGATCTGGAACCAGTTATCATTGATCAAAGAGCAATTTTCTCTATAAATATATCTAGATCTAAACTTTCACCACTGTAAGGATGTAAGTTTGGACAAAAGCTTACTATTATATAATTGATTGCACCTAAATTACCCACACCAAAATATTTTTCCATGAAAATGTGTTAAGGCATTCTTTACTTTACTTTACTTTTCCCATACATCAGCCATCTGAGTTCTAGCCCTTTGGCCTGTCAATATGACAAAGAAATTACAGGTTTTTATCAGCTGTTTTCTGTCTCTGTATAGAGATTTCCGACATTTGGGGAATAGGTAGGTAGGTACTATACAGGTCGCTAAGTGCAAGACAGATAAAGAGGTGGTGTGATACTGTTTCATCCTGGCAGTCACACAGAGGGCAGGCAGATGGGGTATCCTTCTGGATCCTATTTAGTAGATAGGAATTCAGGGGGATGTGTTGTATTTGCAGACAAAAAATAGTGACTGGTTCTCTTCTATTTGGGGAATTTAGTGCATCTTTTGAGTTGGGAACAGTCATGAGTGCAAATACAGTTCTACCAGTATTGACCATTGATGTTATGGCTTACGGAAATATATTCACAACAGTTTAGTGAAGTTTCATATCTTTAACTAACTAGGGTCTGAGTTCTTCATATTAGAGTAACACCTATATATAGCATAAAGCACGTGGAGTTTGAGTAGAGCAGGGACATGCCCTATTTATTTGTTTTCATAATATATCTTATCTTGTCAGACAGTGGGCAGCAGCTCCAATCCTGGGGAACTCAAAGTTGAGTGTGAGGCTGGTGTAAATTAAGAGTATTACAGCACTTGCAAGATAAAAAGTTAATATAAGTGAGGAGTTACTGGAATCTACATTATTACCCCAGAAGAGATGATGACATACAGAAACAATCACAATGTACTGGAAAGCATACGAAGCAAGCTGCCCTTTTACAGGCGCTAAAACGTTAACATACAGGGTGATCCAAAAAAACTTTCAAAAATGTTTTGTAAATATCCTCCTCCATACTGAAGTTTTGCGTTTCAGATTTGAACATAACGTTTGGAAGCCAAAAGGAATTTTTCACATATGTATTTTAGATAAGTCCATTGAATGGTTTTGCTTTATATAACACATTAAAAATACAACCCATTTTCAACCTTGTCGCCATTTTCATAGCATGACGCACCAGTTCGCATTAGGCCTACCACTAAAAGTTGCAACAATCGCGCCATATTGCAAGCTACAGCAGTCAAACAAGTCAACAGAAGTCTGCGGATATTATTTTTCCAAAATTTTGTTTGCCTGCTGAGATCATGGCTTCTTATAGTAAAGAGTAGAGAGCTTTTTGTATTGAACATTACCTTTCCACAAACTTACCATTCCTGACATTTCGTAAGTTCTGCGCACGGCATGGAGAGAATGCTTAGGTGCCCTCAAGACCTTTGGCGTTATGAGGAGAGAAGTTCCGTAGTTTTGGATCTATAGCGAATCAGAACTAAAAAGTTCTTTAAAAAATGACCTCTTCAGGTCGAACACGCACCATGCACAGCCCTTTAAACGTCACCAGAGTGCAGATTTCAGCAGCCAAGTCCCATGAGATGTCTGTCCGTAGACGATCTGCAGCTAGGACTTTCCTACACATCAACAGTCTGCATTCTCATGGCAGATCTTAACCTACGACTATACCATGTTCATCTTCGTTAGGCCTAGATTACATGGATCAGAGCATGGCAATGTGTTCATGATTCCTCGATTGTCTTGTAAAGATGGATCATTTCCTCGATGATATTAGGTTTAAAGCGAAGCCCATTTTCATCCTGCGGGAAATGTCAACTCCAAAAATGCTGATTATTGGGCACCCCACTCTATTGTCTCTAGAAGCCACTTCTTAGTGAACATGTACAGTGTATGCGGCTTTAAAAACTCATGGTTTAGCAGGTCCTTGTGTTAAGGCGCCACTGAACATTTCGAACGACGCGTTCAAAATGGGTCAAGTCCAAAGGAAGGAATGTGGAGCACTGCTTCTAGAAATTTCAGAATGAAATCCATTACGTTTTTAAAACTCTGTAAAAGAAATTAGAAATTGTTTAATAGTCACAGGGGTGGAAAATTAATGCCAAAGAGAAAATAAAGAGAAAGGTCAACTTATCTTTTCACGACTTCCGTTACAAGATTTTTAAACATTGGTGAACTTTGCGTTTTCGGGTGCTTTTTCTTTTAGCTGTTTTCATTTTCAAAACATGTTTCTTTTTCGTGGATTTTATACTAAACAAATTCCTTTTGAATGAATTATGTCTGTTCCAAATTGCAGCATTCTAGAACAATTTTTTGCGCGAGATATTCAGATAAAAAATTGTACTTTTTTGGGGGGGGGATCACCCAGTACTTACAATTTCTTTCATGGCCACATACCCATTCACACCTGGGTGAAGTGCAGGAAATTTGTGTAAAGTGCTTTTCCCCAAGGACGCAATGTCAGGCTGAGCTGAACCTACAACCTCATAATTACGAGTATATTGGCTTAACCATAACTACTTACTTGCACTCACGTGTACACAAAAAGCATACATTGTTCATTGTGCAACTTACATTGTGATCCCCACTCAGCTCCTGCAGTATGTTTGGCTGAGAGAAGTCATAAGGCCCTTTATTCTTGCTGGATGACTTAATCTGAGGGAAACAAATAACCTGGACTGAGTGACAGGGAGAGTAGGAAAGAGAGAATGAGAGAGACGGACAGACAGTGACAGACAGACAGTGACAGACAGACAGACAGACAGACAGACAGACAGACAGACAGACAGACAGACAGACAGACAGACAGACAGACAGACAGACAGACACATAGACACACAGACAGACAGAGTGAGAATAACAGCCAGAAATGAATAGAGTATCAAAAGTACCACTAGTTATCCAATGTTTTGGCACACTAAAAAACACACAAAATGTCTTCACTCAAGCACATTCTGTTCTTAACAGGTCACTCTGAAATGAGGTCAGTCACATTGATATAGTCATGGACAGGACTAAGGTGCACTTCAAAGAGAAGAAACAAAAATATATGTGGCGCAGCGTGGTGAAATCAGGCGCTCGTCAAAACGATGAAAGTCAAGAAACGGGTATTTTTCCGCGGGTTTGGGAATTTTTATCGAATTTTTGTTTTTTGGCTCAACACCTTTCATGTCTATTAAAGAACACATTTCTGTGTAGGTTTTACTGAAAAACGTTGATTAAAGGCATAAAAAATGTAAATTTTCAGTTTCCACAGAATTTCAAGCTAAAGAAATAATGCAACTTTGGCGGCCATTTTCTAGCTAATTTTACCTCTGAAACCAGGCGACCCTCACCTCCTTCAATCGTCAATATCTTGAATTGTATCCAAGATAAATGGAAATTTTTTTACTTCAAAAGCAAGGCGAATGGACAGGCTTTAAGATGGTACCAATAACACCATATGCCCCAAAATTGACGAGCGCCTGACACCACCACACCGCGACACAAATACAGGTGCCTGAAAAAGGTTATCTCAAGTCTGAGACAGAAGGGGTCAACATGTCACTTCAAATGAGTTCACTTCAACAACAGTGACAATATCAAGAACAACAAATTTGGAAATAGAGGAACCCAGACAATTAGACCTCCAATGAGGAAATTATTGACATACGATAGTTTACCATATAATTGAAATTGCAGATCTTTTAAGCCCCCAGCGACACAATTTAGATCATTTAAGAGGGGGGGTGCTTCAACCCTGTCTGTCAGGGCAAACCCAAGCTAAGAGGAATACAAATTTCCAGCACATTGATATACACAGACTCAATTAGAAAAAACTGTAAATACAATAATAATTCTCACATCTTCTACAAGCAATGGCAAAGTGTCTAACCATTACACCGCATATGTTGGTCCATATTATGATGTAATATCACACCATCATAGAAGCTCCATAAACCACAAACCGTGATGAAGTGTATTACAAAACAAAAACTGCAAGACAAGAAGGACACACACTCTAACCTTTATATCTATTTTTCTCCTTGTTCCAATAGTGGGCCAGATTTAGTAAACTCAATAGAAAATGTGTCAATCTGGAAGTAAGCCATGCACTTTTTTTAAAAAACACAAAAAAACCCTCCTGAAACAGGAAAACTGTTAGGAAGATATGATGATGACCAAATTGTTGAAAATGATATGAGGTATCTTAATGTTAGTCTACTTCTTCATTCAGTGCCTAAAATAGATCCCTTCTGGCAAACACACAAACTTAAACCTAACTTTATCTTTGAATTGTTGCCATTTCAATTTCAGCACAACTTACCTTGAACACTTTCCCATCAACAGACACCTCTTCCTCCACTGGCACCTGATCACTGTGCAGAGCTAATGAGGAAAGACAAGACACAGGGAAAGAACTGAACATTTGGCTTTGAACACCATCACAGAGATACTTCAAGACCTTCAGTTTATCATTGTTCAAACTACAGCTCTGACATTTTAAAAAATTCATGGTCCTTATCCTGCTAATTGTGTCTGTACAAAACAAAATGAAGAAAGTAGCAATAGTGTGTGTGTGTGTGTGTGTGTGTGTGTGTGTGTGTGTGTGTGTGTGTGTGTGTGTGTGTGTGTGTGTGGGTGTGTGTGTGGGCAGATGTGTGTGTGTGGGCGGATGTGCGTGTGTGAGTGTGTGTGTGTGTGTATGCATGCGTGCGTGTGTGCAAGTGTGTGTATCCAAAACAAACAAAAAATGGAATTTAAAGCATTTAGTTCAAGCTTAGCTGCACTCTCAATAACAACATAAAAAATTTCAGATAGCTTTCTTCAATTTTAATTAAAAGTGTTTAGATCAGGGGCTAAATTGCACTTTCTCCCCATTTTTAATAGATTTCCTCGAAAGAAAACGGGCAGAATACACTAAAACAAAGGCAGAGGAGGGCCAACAGTAGACAGGGAACTAGTAGGGAAAAACATATTGAGGTTGGAAAAGACATACTGAGAGAATGAAGAGTAAAAAGAGGAGAAAAAAATGAGACTTTCTACTGCCCCTGAAATTCCAGATCTTAGCTGGCTATCTCCACAAATAAACTCTGCTAGCAGACACTTTCTCACAATTCACCTTGATCAGCTGCAGACTTCATCTTGTTGACCGTCTTGCCAAAAAATTTCTTGATCTTTACCCTGTGGGAAGAAAGCAAATCATTAGAACAGAACTAGAATCTAGTAGCAGAGACTGCTTAAAAAATGTTTAGTCGCATTGTCACACATGTAAGAAGAGCAACTATAACAGGACTCTCATTGAATGTTCAGAAGAAAGAAGTAGCTATCTGCTCTCTATTTATTAAAGACTACGTCTACATACAGATCTGTTGGCAGAAAATAAAGGAACATTTAGCCTTGGAAATAGCCAAACTGCCCCCTTCACATTTGTCGACAAGGGCGTCATAGTGCTTTTCTTTCCATTCATTAGCAGCACTAATGTTGTCTTCATGAGGCACAGTGAGTTCGACAAAGTGGTACACCACTTTCTTCTCTTTGCATCATATTGTCAGGTTTGGCTTTTTTGTTGTCAGGTTGGGGAAGAATCTCTGACAGCTAGATCTGTTACTGTCTTCCTTCCTTCTTTCCTCTGGCTAGCCTCCAAAAGGAGGGCGGCAGTCTGCAGTAGGAAGAAAGGTAAAAGGCAACCTCGTGTGGCCTCGTCCAGAGTACATCTGGGCCCGGTCTCGCATTGTTCTCCATAAGGGGGCCTCGATGTGCTTCCCCCCGCGGGCATCATACAGTGCGTGCTGCAGGTTGTCACGACTTGTGCCACACACCCGACAGGAATCATTGGGAGCGGAGCCTATTGCATGGAGATACGCCGGTAGGATGGGGCTCTTTGCGTAGCATCTTAGCTGTGATACACTCTTCTCTGTCTGACGGTTAGGTCTCTTTGTCCCTCTCCGGTGGTGGCTTCACCTTTCCCCTGATGGAGTCGTGCACTCGTGCTTTCTCCCATGCGTGGGCAATGATGTAACACGAGATGCACGAGCTTGCTGATGCTAGATCGACTGGGGTGTGGGACTGGTCGAGGCGGCCTCCCTTGTTGGCCAGGGCGTCAGCTCAGTCGTTCCCGTGGATGTCGCAATGTCCTGGTATCTATTGTACGTGAAGGTGTTCGTGGATTTCACAGCAGTGGCAGATAATGGTCCACATTTTGTCCTCTATCTCAGTAAGAACTGCAGTCTCTCGGGACATTAAGTGTTGAACAACTGACTGGGAGTCTGTGAAGATGTGGACTCTTTGAAAACTTGGTTGTTTTTTTAGCCATTGCAGTGTGCGGAGCAGGGCGGTAGTTTCAGCTCGGTGGCTGTTTCCGTGTAGTCCCGCGGGCACGGATACACATGTTTCCTACCTAGAAGATTTGTCTAGACAGCAGAATCCTCCTCCACATAAACTGTAGCTGTCGGTGGCATGGCCGTCAGTGAAGATATCAAGGTTGGACGTCTGTCGCTGTCTCCCACTGACTACCGTTCTGGCATTCATTTATTTTAGTTTACAGGGTTTTACCGAGCTCGCAACTGCATAAGGTCATATGAGCGCGCGAAACACAAGTTAGTTTTGTTCGCAACAGTACTGTACGGCTGGTTCGGGTCAGTAGTTAGATCTTAAAATTTTTAAATGTTTAAAAATCAGTGTAAATATATATATTTTCAATCTGAAACAATTTTTCTAGATAACATACAAAATTTTAAATAGTTCAATTACACTTTATAATTTTCTATAAAGGCCAATGGCCTTCATAAAATTCAAAATTCTGTTGGGACCAACAACGGAGAAAATGTCTTGCATATTTTTGCATTTACAATATTTCCTTCGGATCTCTCCAAAGTCTAGACATTCGGTTAAGATGTGTCTAAAGGTAAAATCTGGGTGGCAGCCGATACAGAACGGCTTCTCATCTCCCTGTAGGAGGTATTTGTGGGTCAGGGCCATGTGTCCGATGCGCAATCGAGTAAAAATGACTTCATCTCTTCTAGAGAGGTCCGAAGGATTTCATGGTTCCAGTTTGGGTTTTATATTATACAGTTTGTTGTTTTTCTGTTTTTTCCAGTGGCTCTCCCACAGACTGGAGGTGTACTTTTTTACTTTATTTTTAAAGTCAGACTGTGGGAGAGTGTTCGTCGTTGATCCCAACAGAAGGGATAAGGATTTCTTCGTCAGGTGATCTACCTGCTCGTTTCCTCGGATGCCCACAAGGCTAGGTATCCATGCGAACACGATACTTTTCCCGGTTTCAGTCAAGGCGTGTATTTTTTGTTGTAGCCTAACTATTTTTGGGTGTAGGAGTGTGTAGTTTGTAAGTGAGGTGATGCAAGACAGAGAGTCAGAAAGGATAAGGAAAGATTTGTTAGGAGAATTTTCTATGGAGTCCGGTGCCATGACAATGGCAGTGGCCTCCGCAGAGAAAATGGAGGCTTCAGGATGGAGTCTCCTCTGGTGTGTACTGTTGGAAGATAGGGCTGCGGCACCCACTTCATTGTCTTTTTTGGAGCCATCTGTGAAGATGAGCTCCACACCGGGGTATTTATCTATTAGTTTTTTGTATTCTGCTTGAAAGGTTTTAGTGTTTGTGCTTTGTTTGTTGTGTGTGGTCAGCTGTAAGTCTACTTTTGCCTTGGTGAGGTGCCACGGAGGGAGATCGGGGAAAAGAATTTGTTGGATGTCTTGTTTGGAAAAGTTTAAGTTTTTGAGGTCCTCAAGGAATCTGAGGCCAAAGGGTTTGATGAGTTTTTCGTTGTTTTGGAATTTGTTTATGGTTTCTGGATTTGTTTTAAAAATGCTGTTGTGTGCTGGATTTTCCGGTGTTTAGCTCTGTTTAACTGCGTATTGTAGTGAGAGTTGTGTGCGTCTGAGTGAGAGTGGTGGTATGTTGGCCTCGGCCTGGAGGCTCTCTACCGGAGAAGTGCGGAAAGCCCCCAGAGCGAGGCGGAGTCCTTGGTTCTGTATTGGATCTAGTATTTTTAAGACGTGTGGTTTTGCCGATCCGTAGACTTGACAGCCATAGTCAAGCCTGGACCGGACAAGGGAGATGTACAGGTGGAGAAGGTGTTTTGAGTCCCCGCCCCACTCCGGATTCGATAGAATTTTCAAAGCGTTTAACGCTTTCTGGCACCTCACACGAAGGTCTTTGATGTGTGGTATGAATGTGAGTTTTTTGTCGAAAATGACGCCGAGGAAACGAGCTTGGTCCTGGACGGGAATCCTTTCCCCGTATAGTGTCAAATCCGGCTGCAGCACACGTCTGCCTGTTCGGCAGAAGTGTACTGCAACCGTCTTTGACGGGGAGAACTTGAAACCGTTGTTGTTTGCCCACGTTTCAAGTTTGTGCAGCTGCGTTTGCAGCTGCCTTTCCATAGATCTCAAATTAGGATTTTTCGATCGGCAGCATATCAAGAAGTCGTCAACGTATAATGAGCTGTCTATGCTGTTTTGGAGGGTTTTCACTATGGAATTTATTTTAATTTCGAATAGGAGAGGAGAAAGGATGCTCCCCTGGGGGACTCCTTCCTCCTGTTGGTGGGGGGTCTGAAAGGGAGGATCAGACACGAACCTAGAAGGAACGGTTCTTCAGGAAGTTGCCAATGAGGGCAGGGAGATGACCGCGTATGCCGAGTGCGTGCAGGTCTCGAAGAATGCCGTACTTCCAGGTTGTGTCGAAGGCTTTTTCTAGGTAAAAAAAGATGGCGATCATGTGGCTTCTTTCAGCGAACGTCTCGCGTATAAAGGTCTCCAGGCGGACCAGGTGATCCAGAGTGGATCGAGTTTTCCTGAATCCGCACTGGAGACTGCTCAGCGTGCCCGTCGTTTCCAGAAACCACATGAGTCGCCTGTGAATAATTTTTTCAATTAGTTTGCAGAGACAGCTCGTAAGTGCTATTGGTCTGTAATTGGATGCGTGTGTGTGGTCCTTGTTTGGTTTGGGTATTGGAATGACAGTGGCGAGACGCCAAGACTCCGGAAAGGAGTGCGACCGCCACATGTCGTTGTATATGTATAGTAGGAGTGTGAGTGTTTCTGGGGGTAAGTGTCTAATGATTTGGTTGTGGATGTCATCCGGTCCCGGGGCTGTATCGCCCCGGTCTGAGATGCACGATGTTAGTTCGTCTATTGTGAAGTCTGCGTTGTAGGTTTCAGTGTTGTTTGAGTGGAAGTTTAGGTGTTGTTTTTCTCTGTTAGTTTTGATGTTTTGAAAAGTGGTGTTGTAGTTTGCTTGGGATGAGTTTTTGGCTAGAGATGTAGCTATTGTGTTTGCAATGTCTACTTGTGTTTCAGCTGTTGTTCCATCCGGCCTCTGGACGTGCCGAATGGTGTCTGTGCGTCTACCTAAAATTTTTTTAGCAATTTTGAAAACTTGGTTGAGTGGTGTCTGGCTATTGATTTTGGAGATGTATTTTTGGAATGATTGTCTTTTGCTCTCCCTGAGGCATCTACGTGCCACAGCTCGAAGCTCGAGCCTTTAAATAATTTATCTTGTTTTCTATGGTGGTGTTGTTGACGGCTTTTCGATACGCTGCCTTCTTTTTCTTTACTGCGTCCTCACATTCCCAAGAGAACCAGATCTTGTTCCTCCGCGGTTTTGTTTTTGTTTTTGGAATGTGATTGTGGCATATTTCTAAGAGCTTTTCGTGGAATTGATTGTAGTTGTGGTCGAAATTGGGATTAAGAATCTGAGAACATTGATTGGCAAACCCGTCCCAGTCGGCTTTTTTGAAGTTGAAGCGTTCTGGGATGGGGTCGTTTTGGAGGCTATTGTTTTTGAGGAGAATTGGGAAATGGTCCGTACGGTCATCCAGCACAGACCACTCAAGATCTGGGACTAGTTCAGGGGTACAAAAAGGGAGGTCAAGGGATGAAGTGCCATAAGTGGCTCTGTTTCTGTAAGTTGGGGATTTATCATTTAAGAGACAGATGTTATTTTGAAATAAAAAGTTTTCTATTATTTTACCTTTCTGGTCTATAGGTTTGTCTCCCCAAAGGGGGCTGTGGGCATTGAAATCACCTAGTAAAATAAAGGGTTTTGGGAGCTGAGCCTTTAAGTCATTTAGTTGGGTTATTTTGAGGGGGTAATTTGGTGGGATATAAACTGAGCAGATCGTGATTGGCCTGTGCAGGGTGACCCGTACGGCAATAGCCTGGAGGGTCGTCTTAAGATGTACTTGTCTGTGGAGTGTGTGGTTGTCGGTGTAGATGGTGGTACCACCGGAAGCAATCTGGTTCTCCGTGTGAATGTGATGGTACGCAGTAAATCCTCTTAAGTCTATGGTTGAAGCCGGGGCGAATTTTGTTTCTTGAATACAGGCCACCCGTGGGCACAGTGTGGCCTGTAAATGTTGCAATTCTGCAATGGAAGGTCGGATTCCGCCGGCATTCCATTGCAGGACCGCCATTATGATTTTTTAGGTTTTTGTTTGGAGCTCAAAGGCCCCGGCTTCGAAGAAGCACTCTGACTCCTCCTTGCGGGGGAGGCAGAGTGTTTTCTAGGTTGCCGTCCTGGATTGGACGGCGGTCTAGTGGGGGATTTGGAGGAGTGACAGACTCCGCCCTTCCCGGGGTCAGGCCGGGGAGGGGGGTCGGAGATGTCTTCCTCCATTGGTTGGTGGTGGGGTAGGGGGGTGTCTGCTGGAGAGGGAGCAGACGGAGGGAGCTGGGAAGAGGGGGAAGGGTGCACCTCACGCTCCATCAGAGGGATGAGGCGTGAGGTGGAAGAAGAAGAAGAAGAAGGAGAAGAAGAAGAAGGAGAAGAAGAGGAAGAAGAAGAGGAAGTGATAGAGGAGGGGGGAGGGGGAGGAGAGAGGGCGGAGGGAGAATCCACCCTGTCCTCCCCTAGAACCTCAAAGCGGTTTGTCAGAGGTGTCTCGGTGAAAGGAAGAACCTTTTTTGTTTTATTCACAGAGACATGCCTGTTGACCGTGGGCTTTGGGAGGTCAGCAGTAGAAGGACTTGCGGACCTCGTGGCTTCCCGTGCTACCTTGGCGTATGACCGGCCAGGGATCGGGGTCACAACTGGCGGGCAGGTAGCTTTGCGGGCCTCCTGAAACGAGCAGCCATTTCGTACTTTATACTCTTGGATTGCGCGTTCTTGAATCCAAGTCGGGCAATCCTTACTAAAGGCTGTGTGCTGGCCGTGGCAATTGGGGCAACAAGGACTAGCCTTGCATTCCTTCTCAGGATGCCCGGTCTTGCCACAACGAGGACACACGGCTGCGTGTCGGCATCTCGACTGACTATGTCCGAACTTCTGACACTTGAAACAGCGCAGAGGGTTCGGTACATAGGGTCGCACGTCTAAGACCAAGTACGATGTCCGAACGGTGGCTGGAGGGCGACACGAATCAAAGGTCAAGATGACCGTGTTGGTTTCGAGGGTGGTCTCCCCCCGTCGGAGAGTAATCCGGCGGGTGTCAATCACACCTTCGCAGTTCGCCACAATTTCCTCCATGCTGCAGCCCTTTAGTTCATGGCTGCGGACGACGCCCTTCGAGCAGTTCAACTTCTGGTATCGTTCGGAAGTACATGGAATACTGCCGAAGGTCGTGATGTTCAGAAGTTTGGCCACTTCAGTCTCTGTTGCGCACTTGACGAGGAGTACACCAGAGGACAGCTTCTGGACATTCGTAGGAATGTATCCCAGAACCTGTCTTAGTGCATCTCCCGTCTTGAACAAATTCAGATCAGTGATCTTCTTCTGTGCGTCTTCTTTGCAGCAGATGGCCACGTAAGGCTGCTTCGGAAGCTCCCTGGGAGAAGGGAGAAAAGAGGCAGACGTAAAGGTCCTTTTTCCAGTTTTGGAGTTTTCGCTCGGCTCGGCGGCCGCACCCGCTTCCGCAAGCCGAGTCTTTTTGGTAACGTTGGGAGCTGGGGAAGGGTCGATTTTTTATTTGGATTCCATGAGAGTTTTCTATTTTATTCCACTCCGGGGCTCCCCGCCCGCCACGGAGCCTAACAAGGGGACACATTGCTCGGATTACCAGAGCTGTGCCAGGGCTACCCCGGAGCTATACTCTCAACGAGAAAGTACAAGACCCTCGCGTCAAGATTGACCCAGGGCTTGATGGGGTTTCAGCTCTCAACCGATTGAGTGGCATGGGCCATGCCACCCTCCCGTCTAAGAGGAAAACCTGGGCCAAAGAGGTGTGTTGGCGAGGGACAGTCCGTGGACTGATCTCACCTCAACCGCCAGGTACCCGGTTTCCCTCCGCACGGGTCGCACCTCACGGTCAACAAGGCGCCCACTCTGTGGGATGGGTGACCTCTCGTTTTGCTGCACATGAGGTCAGCGGTGGTAGGAAAGATAGAAGAAGAAAGAAAGAAGGAAGGAGAAGAGGAGGATACCCCAAAGTAAGTGTCGCACACGGATCCCAGAGGGTTGGGGTCTGTGTGCGACACTCCGCCTTTGAGGGGGTTGCACCTTCTGCAGACGAAGCAGTGGGTCTATTTATATCCCCCCGACCCACTGGGGGTGGTAACAACTCTGAATGGCATGACTATGTGAGCTTACCCTTTCCTCCTCACAATGTTACTGGAAGAGGCCACACTTTTTTCCGACCTTGAGTCAGACTCATCACTCAGCCCATCAATGTGCAAGCTTGTGTCGCTGAAAATAAAACACATATAAGATACTAGTTTTAATGTTCAAGGAGAACAAAATGACATGAAGTTACACAAGGTGAAAGGCTCCATTGGGAAAAGAAATGTATCATCTGAGCAGCATCAATTCCTTATAACCCATTAAAAAAATACTGAACATGCTCCTTCAATCCCAAAGAGAAGATCGATAATCAGCTTCTAATCCCAAATGAATCCAAACTCAGTCTGAAAAATGACCAATTCACAGACAGCATATATGCCATCCCACATTGAAATATATGATAATCAGAATGGAGAAAATGGAAAAACCATGGACATCAGCTTGTTTCACAGACAACAACTATTGCTGTTATAAGTACAAGCTTTAGGGTGCATTTATAACCAGAGGTGCCAACCGGTTAAGAAAAAAATCCCAAACTTTCCTAACTCCATAGAAACACATCGCAACCCCAGTGCTTCCTTGTCATATCTCCATTTTTAATAACAGTGAAAACAGTTCATAACAAAGAGTGAGCATCAGAAGACGTCACATTTTTACTGTTAAAAAAAAAGGAGACACGACAAGAAAGCACTGAGGTAGCCACATGTGCAGGGAGTAAAAATTTACGGAATACATTTTCTAATACATTTTGTATCGAGAAGTCTGGTAAAATCCAGACAATTTTGTAAATTCAGATTAACAGATTTATCAAGGGCCTTATTTAAATGGACGGGGGGTCCCTCTTCGCAGCAGCGTGCGCGGAGTGCTCAACTGAACAGCCAAAATAGCAGCCAAGTATTGTCAGATCTGCGTAAACTGCAGTTTTTTTCTTGAAAAGGTCTTATTGTAGAGCTGGGCTTCGGTGTGTGTGTGTGGGGG